ACGCTCCATCACAGAGAGTACACCCTCTGATATCTCCATGGATCCACTGTAAACAGAAACACTCCATCACAGAGAGCTATTCCCCCTGATATCTCAATAGATACTCTGTATCAGACACAGAGAGCTACACCTCCTGATAACTCCCTGGATCCACTGTAAACAGATACTCTCCATCACAGAGAGCTACACCTCCTGATGTCTCCATGGATCCACTGTAAACAGAAACTCTGTATCAGACACAGAAAGCTACACCACCTGATATCTCCATGGATCCACTATAAACAGATACTTTCCATCACAGGGAGTATACCCTCTGATATCTCCATGGATCCACTATAAACAGATATAGACACAGAGAGCTACTCTCCCGATATCTCCATGGATCCACTATAAACAGGTACTCTCCATCACAAGGAGCTACACCCCCTGATATCACCATGCATCCACTGTAAACAGATACTCTCCATCACAGACACAGAGAGCCACGCCACCTGATATCTCCATGGATTCACCATAAACAGATGTAGACTCAGAGAGCTACACCCCCTGATATCTCCATGGATCCACTGTAAACAGATATTCGGTATCACAGACACAGGGAGCTACACCCCCTGATATCACCATGGATCCACTGTAAACAGTGAGTTATTGAATATCTCACCTCTCTGTGGGGTCTACCTTCCTGGAGAGTCACCGAACCCCAAGCCCAGGCCTCACTGTGGAGACCAGGCCCCAGGTTCGGACCCTCCGGACAGCAGCTTCCGGCGGCAGTGCGCAGGCGCGGGGGGTCTCCAGAACATTCCAATCCGGGCGAGGTCAGAAGTCACGGTTAATGGGGGTTTCGGAGGGGAGCGCCGTCTCCGAAGGGGGCGGGATCAGCGCCCGTCCAACGGGAGGGGGCGGGGCGACTGTTTGTGTAGCGAGTCACAATGGAGGGCGTGGTCAGGTTAAGGGGCGGTGCCCAAGTCTGAGCGTTGGAATAGGTGGGCGTGGTCAGAGGGAGGCGTGTCCGAGCGTGCGGGGCAAGAGGGCGGAGCGTCCGAGTTGGGGTGGGGTCAGTTAAACGGGTGGGGGAGTGAGAGGGTGCTCAGTGAGGGAGGGGTCCGGTAGAATGTGGGGGAGGGGTCAGGGTACATAGTGGGGAGCTGTCAGGGTACATGTGTGAGGGAAGGATCAGGATACAGGGTTGGGGAGTTGTCAGGGTAGGAGTAGGGGAGGGGTCAGGGTACACAGTAGAAGATGGGTCAGGATACAGGGTGGGGGAGTGATCAGGGTCCACACTGGGGGATGGGTCAGGGTACAGGGTTGGGGAGCTGTCAGGGTAGACAGTAGGGGAGGGGTCAGGGTACACAGTGGGGGAGGGGTCAGGATACAGGGTTGCGAAGGGGTCAGGATACAGGGTGGGGGAGGGTCAGGATACGGTGTTTGGGAGCGGTCATGGTACTGGTTGGGGGAGGCCAGGATACAGAGTGTGGGTGGGGTCAGGATACAGGGTGGGGGAGAGTTCCGGGTACAAGGTGAGGGATGATTGAGGATACATGGAGGGAGGGGTCAGGGTACACATCAGGATACAGGTTCAGTGAGGGAACAGGTTAGAGGTTGGGTGTCCATGATCTGGAGAGATGGTGGACTTTTGTCTTCAGTTGATCTTTCACTGCAGGCCCACTGCTCTCTTCATCTGTTGATGGACTCTATGATTACTTCTTAAAAGCATTCAGATCTTTCAGGCTGCAAATTACAACTTCTTCTGGGTTGGTTGGAATTTGGTCTGCACAGTTAGGTCAAATCCCAAGTCACACATACTGATCACTGTGTTGCATGCTTTGCAATGCCAAGCTCTTTTAGCCTATACTGAAAACAAAAAGTGCTGAAGATCACAGTGGGTCAGACAACACCTATGGAGAAGCAGCAAGCTAACGTTTCGAATGTAGATGACTCTTCATTAGAGCTGAAGTGCAGTATGGAGGGGGCAGCATTTATGCATTGGTAGGGGTAAGTGGGTGTTGGAGTGCTGGATGGGAAAGGATGTTGTTGTTCAGATTAAGTGATCGGAATGTGAGAATGGAAGAACATTTGACTGGGAAGAACAGACAGTCCACACTGGATTGGGGGGAGGGGAGAGAGGACATGGTGACAGAGAATGTACCAATTCAATTCTAAAAGAAAGGGAAGGAATGGGTTCACAATCTGAAGGTGTTCAACTCAGTATTGAGCCTAGACACAATCTGATGGTGCTGAACTCAATATTGAGCCCAGACTCAATCTAAAGGTGCAGAGCTGGATGAACACAGCAGGCCAAGCAGCATCATAGGAGCAGAAAGGCTGACGTTTCGGGCCTAGACCCTTCATCAGAAATAGGGGAGGGGAAGGGGGTTCTGAAATAAATAGGGCCTCTGAGGTTTGTCTGGAGGGAGGAGGGTAACTTAAGGCATTGAACTTAACATTGAGCCTAGAAACAATCTGAGGATGATGAACTCAATATTGAACCCAGACACAATCTGAAGGCGTTGAATCTGAAGGCGTTGAACTCAATATTGAGCCCAGACACAATCTGAGGGCGTTGAACTCAATATTGAGCCCAGACACAATCTGAAGGCGTTGAATTCAATATTAAGCTCTCTCTCCATGGATGCTGCCTGACCCACTGTGATCACCAGCATTTTTTGTTTTCGGTACAGATTTCAGCATTTGCAGTAATTTGCTCCTGCTTTTATGTTGTAGCTGGGATTAGTTCGCTGTCATCAAGTGAATCTCTCAACAAGAGATGGCTTTGGTCTTAAAGAAGATGTAGTTTATTGTATGACAGGTACGCTTTATATTTACAAAATAGACATTGTTACTAAAGACTGCGGAGATGTCTTTGATCTCAAGAATCCTGACTTGTTCTGCCTTTTCAATCCCAAGTCCTTTTTGTATCATCTCACTGATTGGAGCTCGATGCAGTCTTCATTATTAACGGTTTCAGAACCACTACCTTACAGAACATGCTAAACCCCATTAGTTCTAGTTGCCTCTCTCCATTGTTATTCTACAGTATGAAATCCCTCAACTTTCTAGCCTTTCGATTCCAAAGAAGTCGTGAAATGTTCCATTTAAAGACATTTGGATAGGTGCACGAATAGGAAAAGTTTAGAGGGATATGGGCCAAATGTAGGCAAGAGGGACTAGTTTAGTTTGGGAAAATTGGTCGGCATGGACGGGTTGACCGAAGGGTCTGTTTCCATGCTGTATGACTCTATCTCAAAATAAGTTGCCCATTTAAAACAGAGATGAGGAGATATCTCTTCTGTCTGAGGGGAGTGAATCTGTGGAATTTCTTTACCACAGTGGGGCTGTGTCAGATATCTGTTAAATCAGGAAAGGGAATGGAGGGTTATGGGGAAAAGGCAGGAAAGTGGGGTCAAGGATTATCAGATCAGCCACGAACTCATTAAATGACATAGAATGGGCCAAATGGCCTACTTCCGCATCTACATCTAATGGTCTGACCACAGGACGTGCCTGAGGCTGTATTCAAAAGGTGAATAAATTGGTGAATAAAGGAACATGAGATACAGAATGTTAATAGCTGATGCCGAGAGTTTACGAGCAGGGAAATGGTGCTGAAATGGCATGAAAGGTTGATGAGGAACACAGCTAGAGTATTAGGTGCAGTTCTGGAATCCACATGATAGGATGGATATGATAGCACTGGAGACAGTGCAGAAGAGATTCACTAGGATGTTGCCTTTGGGGCTGGAGAGATTTACCAGGATGTTGCCTTTGGGGCTGGAGAGATTTA